CCTTACATGTCAAAAGTCACCGGTGTAAATAAAATAACACATTCCTATGCCTTATAGTTTTTCAGTTTTGTGTGTGTGTGTGAGAGAGAGAGAAAAAATTAGGGAAATCTTATATACATGCAAGACTAAAGTTGTTTCTGGGGGCCCTCCAGGATTAGGGGCCTGAAGCTTAAGCTTCATTAGTTTCATAGTAGATCCTACCCTGTTCTCAAGTTATTTTCCATGTCAGATTAGAAAGCCCTCCACTCAAAGCTGCAAAAAATAAATCAATTCCTGCCCATCCCACTTCATTAGTGACCATGCACAGAGAAAGCACACATGACTGATATTTTGTAAAGGGAATTGCAAGGCTGCTGGTGCATCGAAATTCATCAGACAACTGGTTTCTGGTCACTAGTTCTTGCACACCAAGCTCCCCTTGTAACAGACTGCATTTCTGATGCTAACCAACATCGCCGTCATATTATTTCTGGGACTTAGGCGAGGAGCAGGCGATGGGCAACGTCTGAAGGATGCATGATAATTCTCCCATCCTCGTGGGCAATTCTCTCTTCTTGCTGACATCTTCTGTGGTATCGCAGTGTCAGGAAGATGCAGAGCGTTCCAAGAGCACGCGATTTCAGCTGATGTTTTGCCCCGGAGCTTCCATGCTCCCGTCGAAACAGTCAGAATCGAGCCCGTCGCTTTCAGGAGCCATTAGCTTCTCTCTCAAACATGCTGGTTGGGGCTGCTACAATTAAATCATTAAGAGCTCCCCAAGTGGACCTCTGATGATGAGGATACCTGGAAAGGGCTTCACACGAATGTGGCACAACACCTTCAGTCTCCCCTTCATGTTTGCTCCTTGCCCAGTGGTCATTGGTCATCAGGGCTACAGACAAAATGCTCAGTGGAAGAAAATTGAAGATGGGGGAAGGGGGATACTGCTCCTTCTCTTTGCCATATTCAGCAATGATCTGTAAATCACTAAAAGGACACTATCCATGCCCAACAGAGATGTGTCAGCATAGAGGACCTGCTAGGTTTGAAAAAAACAAAAACGGGAAAAAATAAAACGAAAAAAATAAAAATGAGAGGGGTGGGGAGAGAGAGAAAGATCCTTTAAGGTTTGTGGGGATTGGCAAAAATAGCCCATCAAGGATGTAGAGGGGGTACGGAATGGAGTTTGCTGGAAGAGGGCATGGCTGGCACCTTGAATGGAAGCACGTTCCGCTCTGGAACATTTTGTTGCAGGTCCCACTTGTTTTTATTTATGTATATAACAGGGGTCCCCAAACCAAGGCCCGTGGGCCGGATAAGGCCCAAGGGACTCATTTATCTGGCTCGCGGTGACCCCCGCTGCCAGCTGCCGCTGCCCACTCTTACCGGCGCTGCACTACATGGCTGCCCACTTCTGGTTCAGAGGAGCACCGGAAATAGCTTGTGTGCATGCGCAAGCGTTATTTGCGCGTGCGCAAGTGTTATTTCCAGTGCACATCCGGGTTGGAGGAGGCCCGTGCACATGCACACAAGCTATTTACGGTGCTCCTCCGACCCGGAAGTGCGCCGGAAATAGCGTGTGCGCACGCATATGGGTATGCGCTCCCCGCCCTCTGGCCTGCCACGTTATCGGCGCTGGAGACACCGGCCCGAGGCGCTGTAAGTTTTTTGACCCCTGGTATATAATATAAAGTCTGTGCACATGGATGTGTGTAGATAGGGAGTTTCAGAGGGCAAGTGCTGCCATGGTAAAGGTCTAATTCTGACATCATACAGAAGAGGCATCTGAATGAAATGGTGTCTGCTGGCGAATGCAGTGATTGGTGGGAAGGTGATCTTCTGGGTATCCTAGCTCCAAACTCTTCAGGGCGCTAGCTCCCATAAGCCCCAGCCATTCTCCCCACAGAACTACAATTCCCAAAGTGGTTTAACAATCAATTCTTCTTCCAGGTAACCCTGGGAACTATAATTCCGTGAGGGGAATAGGAATCTTCTAACCATTCTCAGCAGTCTCAGCAAACTACCGTTCCCAGAATTCTTTGGAGAGATTTCATGGTGGTCTAAAGTGATATGACACTGCTTTAAGTGCATAGTGAAGACAGGGCCTAAGACAATCATGGTCGTCAAGTTTCCCATTTCCCCCTTTTCAGGATTTCCTGCTCTTGAGTGGGCTGGATATTGGAATGCAGTTGTTTTGTTGATAGCTGATGTAAAATGCTTTGGCATCAAGAATGTTCTGTGCTCAGAGTTCAGAGAACAGTTGCCCTCTTCAAGCATGTGTGTTTCTTTAATTAATCAGCTTTCACAGTCCCAAAATAGAAATACTAATGAGAGAGGCTAGTACCGCTATGGCCTCTGTGAGTTTGATGGGTTGTTTTGGAAAGCGCAACCCTCAGAAAGACTGGGTGTCTGGAGGCGCCAACTGTGCTCCAATTAATTTCCACAGATTGAACTGTCTTTACCTGCCATTCTGAGGATTGCTACATGCAAATTCTGCACGGTAGAACAGAGTTGTGTAAGATATTCCAGTCCAAGAATTTTCCCTCCCTAAACCGGTGGAGTTCCACTGAAAGACTGTGCGGAACATTCCAGAAATGGTGAACATTTTTCTCTTGGAAGAACTGCTACAAATCGGATTATTGCACTGGGTGGGCTGTTGCATTGGAAGAGCTAGCATAAAGCAAAAACTTTCCACTAAAATCTCTTTTAATGGACCAGTTGATGTAGGAACCCATAGCAACAAGATTGTTAGGTGAAATATGTCATTGACATGCCTCACTTGTGATGGAAGGATCATTTGGGTCACTAGGCACACTGAGGACTTATCTGATTCATCCACCTCCCATTTAGCTGTTTTCCTCTTCAGACCCCATCACCATATTATCTTTAAACCTGGTTCAGACATAATAGGAAACCATGGTTTTCTGCAACTTGAATGAGCTTGCATAAGCTTAAGGTCCTGTGCTCCTCCCTCCCCATCTCTCTCCTCCCCATTTGCAGCTTCAGGGATGATATGGGAATCCTACAGCCCTGCTTCCAGTTTTAAGCAAACCTCTGTTCCTTGTGGTATCAGAACTCAGGGAACTGTGGTTTGTTTAAGCGCTGCTTAGTGAGAGCTATTGAGAACCTGAAACCCTCCTCTGATCTTGGCTTGTTTCATTAACTAGAGTAAATAAAAAAACCCCACACATTTCCCAGTTATAGGAGGGAAGCTGTGTTTTGTTGGAAGCACCTGCTTCCACTTTTAATTTTAGCTCATAACCATAATAAAGGAGCACAAACATGAGGTCTGGGCAAGCTCAGGGCTAAATTACACACCATCCTAAATGCTAAAGCACACCTACCAATCTTGCCTCTTGCTTTGGCAACCCTGCCTTCCACTGAAAGCAACGGTTGAACAAAATGAATGAAATAGTAATGATGAATGAGTAAAAACCAAGTGTCATTTTAGTGAACGAATAACTAAATAGCTGTGCAATTTAATAATGAACACAAATGGAGTACAGAAAAGATTTACGCCTACTTGCGCATCTCCAACCACCAAATATAATGTCAGAAACAGTTACAAAAATGGCACAGGCATGGGAAGTTGGCAGAGTCTGATGAGTTCTGGTCATCACCCATGGTTTTTAAAATGTATTTATTACAAGAATATTTATACACTGCCAGCAGGGTAGCAGAATTTCCAGATGGTGTACATTTAATTCATTAAAACATCACCGAACTATCTGAAAAAGAACCAATTGCCAACACTGAGCCATGCGATGGATTCTCTCCAATTGTTGTTGTTGTTTAGTCGTTTAGTCGTGTCCGACTCTTCGTGACCCCTTGGACCAGAGCACGCCAGGCACTCCTGTCTTCCACTGCCTCCTGCAGTTTGGTCAAACTCATGCTGGTAGCTTCGAGAACACTATCCAACCATCTCGTCCTCTGTCATCCCCTTCTCCTTGTGCCCTCCATCTTTCCCAACATCAGGTTCTTTTCCAGGGGGTCTTCTCTTCTCATGAGGTGGTCAAAGTATTGGAACCTCAGCTTCACGATCTGTCCTTCCAGTGAGGACTCAGGGCTGATTTCCTTCAGAATGGATAGGTTTGATCTTCTTGCAGTCCGTGGGACTCTCAAGAGTCTCCTCCAGCACCATAATTCAAAAGCATCAGTTCCAGTAGGAGCCCATAAAAACTTCACAGCTGGATTGCTAGATGGCACTCTCACTTCCAATGGCTGAGGAAAGCTTTCATTTTCTTGGTGGTGCTTTATTTGAGGGATGGCATCTGCACCACCTATAGTAAATAAGCAACATCCGTGTCTGTGCTACCCAATTGTTATTTTTTCCTGAGCATGTTCTAATCCAAGAGTAGCCAGCATAGACTTCAGCTACAGTGGTACCTTGGGTTAAGAACGTAATTCGTTCCGGAGGTCCGTTCTTAACCTGAAACTGCTCTTAACCTGAAGCACCACTTTAGCTAATGGGGCCTCCTGCTGCCGCTGCGCAATTTCTGATCTCATCCTGAAGCAAAGTTCTTAACCCGAGGTAATATTTCTGGCTTAGCGGTAAACTGGCTTAGCGGTAAACTTAGCTGTAAACTGAAGCGTCTGTAACCCGAGGTACCACTGTATAGCATACTGAACTAGGTACAGTGGTACTTCGGGTTACAAACCCGCACTTCCAGAAATCACTTCTGTGCATGCCCAGACGCCAGAAATTGCATCTGTGCATGTCTGCGGTGCCAGAAATCGCTTCTGCGCATACCCGGATGCTGAAAATCACTTTGATTTTCGGAAATGCACAGAAGCGATTTCCGGCGCTGCGGACATGCACAGACGTGATTTCCAGCATCGCGCTGCACTGGTCCAGCCCACAGAGGATCTCCGCGGGAGTGATCCAGCCCATGCCGGGTAAGCCTTGCCAACCCCTGCTCTTTGCGTGCTAAATATTCACAGGAAGTATGATGGATCCTAGGATCTGAGAAGCAACTGACACCTCTCTCTCTCTCTCTCTCTCTCTCTCTCTCTCTCGGCAGGCCTTTCTTATGGTGCGCTGCAGGTCCAGGTCGGAGCAAAGTCGGTGGTGGTGATTCAAGGACAGCGGGCCATCCTGCCTGTTTGGTATACACCTGAGAGCACGGAGCAGCCCTTTGTCACCTGGCACCTTGAAAGGCCTCATAAACATTCACAGGTAAAGTCTGATTCTGCCTGGGCAGGAAGCTCACTGGTTGGCCTAGCTTACGCAGTGTCAGGCTTCACTGAGAGCCAGTGTGGTGCAGTGGTTAAGAGCGGTAGACTCGTAATCTGGTGAACCGGGTGCGCGTCTCCGCTCCTCCACATGCAGCTGCTGGGTGACCTTGGGCCGGTCACACTTCTTTGAAGTCTCTCAGCCCCACTCACCTCACAGAGTGTTTGTTGTGGGGGAGGAAAGGAAAGGAGAATGTTAGCCGCTTTGAGACTCCTTAGGGTAGTGATAAAGCGGGATATCAAATCCAAACTCCTCCTCCTCCTTTTCTTCTTCTTCTTCCTCCCCCGTGGCCATAAATGAGCAGATCAAACGAAAGGGAATCCTTGCCAGTTAGTTTCTTTAATGAATACAGCAAAGGACAAAAGAAAGAAGCATCTAACCAGAATGGCGGTGCTTCCGATTAAGATCACTCCCCGCTCTGTCCCTATTAATCTACGTCACTTTGCTGTTTAAAAAGATTTTCTTGGTTGATGTTTGCAGTGTTGGCTGTTCCCCGCCCCCCACCCCCTGCCCCCCCACTTCCATTTTTCACAATTGACTTCCCCTCCCAGAAATAAAACTTGAAATCTAGATTTCCTTGTTGTAATTGTTGCTGATTTAAAGCTCTGTAACGTATGTGTTGGACGCGGGTGGCGCTGTGGGTAAAAGCCTCAGCGCCTAGGGCTTGCCGATCAAAAGGTCGGCGGTTCAAATCCCCGCGGCGGGGTGCGCTCCCGTTGTTCGGTCCTGGCGCCTGCCAACCTAGCAGTTCGAAAGCACCCCCAGGTGCAAGTAGATAAATAGGGACCGCTTACTAGCGGGAAGGTAAACGGCGTTCCGTGTGTTGCTCTGGCTCACCAGATGCAGCTTGTCACGCTGGCCACGTGACCCGGAAGTGTCTCCGGACAACGCTGGCCCCCGGCCTCTTGAGTGAGATGGGCGCACAACCCTAGAGTCTGTCAAGACTGGCCCGTACGGGCAGGGGTACCTTTACCTTTTTAACGTTTGTGTTGCAATTTGGGTTCCTTGCGATGGCAAAGCATGAAATATACACCGTATGAGAAGGAGATATTTGATGACTGTGAGCTTTGATTTACCAGGGCATCTAACACCTGAAGATCTATAACTTGGGTCTCCAGGTGTTTTTGGACTACAACTCCCATCATCCCTAGCTAGCAGGACCGGTGGTCTGGGATCATTGGGACTGTAGTTCAAAAGCAGCTGGAGACCCAAGTTTGGGAAGCCCTGGTCTATAGGTTTCCCATCCTAGGCTTAGCTTCATACTCAAAGGTATCATTAGTGTGTCAGTAAGCAAAGTTGCATGTGCGCAGTCAATTTGCAGAATTCCTTCCTGGGGTAGAAGTGGCCTTTACCAGCCCAGAATGACAGTTTCATTTATGCACAGCTTGAATGTTTTTATTTATTTATTTTATAATTGGTCCTGTGACTGGGGAGAGACTGTTGTTTTCATTTCCTATTTCCATCTCTGCTCGGTTCTTTGACCAGCTGACAGGCTGCTAAAAATTGTCCAAAGCCCCACTTGAGTTGAGAGAATTTTTAGCTGACGGGCTCCTAAAGCTTTGCTTCAATGCTGAGTGGATTTTAGCAGCCTGTCATCCGGTCAGCGAGAAATAGCGTCGTGCAAAGATAATTGTGATGATTTGAAGGGTCTGTTTCTGCAAGCAGGGATTCATACATTTCCCCTAAACTAATCTGTAGGAGAAAATGGGCCTCTTGTCTCCACGTAACAACCCTTAGCATTAAGATGAAGCTTCAGGATGTTTGAAGAGCTTTATAGCCTCCCAAGAATTGCTATTAAAAAGATGGGTGTTTAACTGTCCCAATTAGGCATCAAATAAGCATGTTAGGGAGGTTCTCAGGCTGGGTGGACAGCGGCAGCTCCTGACAGTTACATCCCAGTGTTATAAGAAAAACCTGCTCCTTTTCCCTTATGGGGTATTCTAGAGGCCGTACAGAGTCCTTAAGTGGGTCCCCTATCGGTTGGAGAAAATAACAGAGGCCAACCAGAGTATTCTTTGGTGATCACTCGTAGCCGAGTAAGATTGTCTTCCATAAACACGGCTTTAACAATGAGTCCGTAAGTGACTGTGGAGGCCAGTTCTGGATCCACACATCCTTCCACAGTGGGGACATTGAGCAAAGCAGCTAGTAAGCCTGATCTTTATTCAAGGAACTGTTGCAACAGGGTCCCAACACGCAGGAGAGAGAACTCTGAACAATAGCTTATATAGACTTTTGAAATCGCCCACCCTGTAGACCAAGACCACCTCCCCAAAACACCATGCATACATCAAAGAAGGATGCGGTCTACAGCAGAAATCCTGTTTGCCCAGGTACCTCATAATGGTCACTGACTGCATTACCTGGGCAGCCTGGCCATTCTTTTGTGATGGTTAATACTTTCGTTCCTGAATCCAGGTCACAGGCTCACCCTATTCATGCACAAATACGCCCTTAAGGCAGAATTTGCAAGCAAAAAGACCATGAGAAGGCTTTCCCCATTTGCCTCCCTTATTGCAAAGGAATATTTGAGGCCCTTGGGAGAGTCAAAATGACTTCAGGATTGCTCTCCCATACTATTTCAGACACATGGCTCATATATTTAGATATGTGTGCATTTATGAATATTTATTCTATATTTGGGATGCGGGTGGTGCTGTGGGTAAAACCTCAGTGCCTAGGACTTGCCGATCGCATGGTCGGTGGTTCGAATCCCCGCGGCGGGGTGCGCTCCCATTGCTCGGTCCCAGCGCCTGCCAACCTAGCAGTTCGAAAGCACCCCTAAGTGCAAGTAGATAAATAGGGACCGCTTACTAGCGGGAAGGTAAACGGCGTTTCTGTGTGCGGCTCTGGCTCTTCCCTTTGGCATCCCTGAGTCTCTCCCCAATTTTTGCATGCACGTGTGCATGCACACCTTAAGTACATCTCAGAGCACTTTACAGTTGGTAATGGATTCAGACCCCAAAGACCCTTAGAAGCTGAGAAGCAGCATCTTCCCATTTTACAGCTGGGTGAGTTGACGCAGTCTAGAGAGGTTGAGGATCATGAAGCCGCAGACTGATTCAAAAGTAAAATCTGCCCTCTCTGTTCGCCCAGGCTAGCCCAATACAGTGGTACCTCTGGTTACGTACTTAATTCGTTCCAGAGGTCCATTCTTAACCTCAAACTGTTCTTAACCTGAGACACCACTTTAGCTAATGGGGCCTCCCACTGCTGCCGCGCCGCTGTCGCACAATTTCAGTGGTACCTCGGGTTACAGACACTTCAGGTTACAGACTTTGCTAACCTAGAAATAGTACCTCGGGTTAAGAACTTTGCTTCAGGGTGAGAACAGAAATTGTGCTCTGGTGGCACGGCGGCGGCAGCAGGCCCCATTAGCTAAAGTGGTACCTCAGGTTAAGAACAGTTTCAGGTTAAGAACGGACCTCCGGAACAAACTAAGTTCTTAACCTGAGGTAAAGTGAAGGGACTCCTGACCATTTGGTCCAGTCATGGCCAACTCTGGGGTTGCAGCTCTCATCTCGCTTTATTGGCTGAAGGAGCCAGCATACAGCTTCCAGGTCATGTGGCCAGCATGACTAAGCCGCTTCTGGCGAACCAGAGCAGAGCACGGAAACGCCGTTTACCTTCCCGCCGGAGCGGTACCTATTTATTTACTTGCACTTTAAGGTGCTTTCGAACTGCTAGGTTGGCAGGAGCAGGGACTGAGCAGCGGGAGCTCACCCCATTGCGGGGAATCGAACCGCCGACCTTCCGATTGGCAAGTCCTAGGCTCTGTGGTTTAACCCACAGCGCCACCCGCATCCCTTAACCTGAGATACCACTGTACATTTTCCTGCCTGAGGCTACAGAAGACTTCCTCCCCTCCCTAAATTCCACATATTGCCCACTAGATAGGCAGTTTAGTCATACTTCAACACTGATGATGATATAGCATCCTTGATTGCACGTGTGCACAAGAGGCTAGTTTAGGAGCCCATTGGAAAGGCATCAATGGCAAGAACTGTCAGTCTTCATGGGCAGGAATCGCTTGGGGGACTGCCGCCCTCCTGAGTAGGCATGGCTGAAGTTCAATTTCTGTCATTTTCCCAATATTAAAGTTCTGTTCTCCACATCAGTGTTTTTTTAAAAAAAGTCATCGTGACAATTAATCGGTATTTTAGTGCGAGCATTGTTTGCAATTTTGCAATTTTGTTTGCAGGTTTCCCTAATATACATAATTTGGATATGTTTTCCCCGGCCCAGTAATACTGTCTGTGCATTTTTATGGACAATTCTCCCTCATTGACACATTTTTGTATTCATTATTTGGTTGCATCACAATATTCAGAGACGTGTGAATTGTTTGCCTAAGTGTGAATTAGGTGGTTACACATCAAAATCCAAACAGAACTCTCTTCCTGAGGCAGCTGCCTCAATGGTAGGGGCAGTCTCACTATCCACACACTTACCTAGCCCACTCAGTGCTTCACCTGTAGTTGCACAACCTTTTAATAAATTGTATGTAACTAATGTTGGGGGTTATCAGGAGCACAGCATGCAGTGGAGGATGGAGAATTTGCCTCTGTTATCCTGTACTGAGTTCCAGATTAAAATTGCTACCCTGTTCACAAGCCACTATTAGTTCCCAGGTGGGAGCGTCCATCATAAATTTAAGCAGGCTGAACTTTTCCCAGCATGTAGATAAGTTCCCTCCAATTTAGCAAATTCGCCTGCTTTTTTTAAGGAAATAAAAATAAGTTCTTATGATGATGATTTATATTCTGCTTTCAAGTGGCACTCCCAGAGGCCTCCTTTCCGAGGCCCACTAAGAGTCAGATTTTTATTAGGTTTAATATTTGCAATCCACTTTTCCAACAGATGCCATTCATGCAATCAACAATCATGCAAATATGGGGGGGGGGTAAATTGCAGATGTATTGGGGGTAGCTGACCTGGATTGG